CTAATCCTCACATACCCCCGTTGCAACGCTCAGGTGGCCATAACTTCATTCCTTCGTCACCTTTACAGCACACGCGCAGCACCAGAATCGAATCTGTGCGGCGACCTGAAAGATTCGCAGGAACACTTGTTCACACCTACGGCTCCGCATGCCCTTTTCCCACGCTACAATGGACTGCTCGCAAACTTGGCTGTGACATCACAGCCACACTAGAAATCAGCCCAGTGGTACTTCTTGATTGAACTAAAGGACTGATACACTCACCAAAAGTCTCTAAAATTTGACTGCCAAATACATGTCCAGATTCTGATGATTCTGTGCACAGCAGGTTGCATCTCTATTGGGCTGTCAGATCTCACAGAACCACGTGAAACACACCTGTCTGGGGCGGAAAGATTGAAAAGAAATGACATTGCACCTCGCCTACCCTGCCCTGAATCGACTGTGCACCAATGAGCCTGAAATCCAGGTCAGCTTTGGCGATTTCGCCCACAACAGTCCCTAACAATCCAGACCTCTTTCCAACAAGCATCTTGAGAGTTCCTCAGTCACTCAGAACAGGATGCCAGAGCTCTGGCTCGCCAATGTCTTCATCACAGACTTGCAGCGATTTCACAATTGCCCAGTTGCACGATGACATTGATCACACAGATTGATCATCATCTCGTTTGAAACTTGGCAACGTAGTCATCAACCGTAGATTGCCTTGCAGACGATGCAGATTGTTGTAGCACGCATCAACACCTCTCTGGGGTCAGCTCCAGGTGAGCATCTTGGATGAAGAGGTTTGGCCGTCGTTGGCAAAGTCTTCCCGTCTGGGAAGGCGTTTGGGGCGTGCAATCTCAGCCCTGCAGCATCCCACTGGACGCCCACGGTGGCTGCCCCGTCTGCGAGTCGCAGCCAGCGCCGGTCCCACCGATTGCCAACGGTGCTCGCAGGCCCTCGATCCTGATCGCCGGTGCGAGCCAATCGACGCGCATTGCTGCAGCCGATCGGTGCAGATCCATCCTGCCGGCAGTGTTGCTTTGTCGGACGCAGTTTTTGAGCGAGAAAGCAGCTTCGTGAGCCAAGCGCGTGCATCCAGAGGGGTGGCGCGGAGCCCAGTGCGTCACGTCACTTGATGGGATGCAGGACCTCCGTGGCGTCGGTATCGCGTCCCATATCTTGGCAGAGTGGGCCGCACATCGAGATACCCATACGTCTCGCTGCGTTGTCGTCTCCGCATTCTCCTTTTATGCTGAAGTTCGTCCCTTTGGAGGAGACTAAGCCCTATTTTATACTTTTGTGGATTCTTGCGACAATCTAGCCAACCTTTGAGGCTCACGGTTCGCCAGCTTGACATTAATTTCATATCATGTGTTGGCTACCCGAATACTATTGGTAACGCACGGAGGAGAATTGGCACGGGCATCGGCTGGGCCACCTTTGGAAACGTTCTGTGCACCAGCGGGATAGCAAAGGAGTCCCATTTTAAGTTTCTCAGCGCACATTTAACGGAAGCCATTTGAGGTCGCACTTGATGTGCAGCAGCAATACCCGACAACAGCACGGGGGGAAAAAGAGTTTTGGACATCGAGTTGCAGGCTCAGCCGCAAGCAATCAGGGGTAACAGAAACGCAGGACTGCAGGTCGAAGGCGCGACTTCTGAACTGGTTGACAGCGATCGCAGATACGGATACGGCAGCGGGGATACCATACGGTAGCGGGGGTACGGATGGCCTGCCACTTGGCTTGGCTCTCGGTACCTTCTGCCAGACCAAAACCGCCTGAGCCGATTGCCATCGTCGTTCCTGACCCCCCCCTCCGCGCCCCTGCCACCCGCAGCACCATGAGCACCAAGGTCGTGACTCGCGGCGGCGCCAACGGACTCGGAAGCGATGAGCCTGAGGAGTGCAGCGAAGATCATCAAGCAGCCGGAACACGCGTCTCTGTTGCAGAGGACGTCAGTCCAGGTGAAAGACCGCGTCGACTGCGGGCTGGCGCCATTCTCGCCGTCACCACAGTCACGGTTGTCCGGCCTCCCTTTCGGAGAATTTGGGCTGCAGTTGGATCTCGCAATGCCTCGGGTTGAGCGGCTGTATGATCATTAATGCCAGCCGTTGCCCTCGGTTGGGAGACATCTGGGTATTGGAGCTGACCACACTCGCGGTGCCGCCGCTTTGCAGCTGCTGTTTTGGAGCGCGCCACTGCGGATGCCAAGCCACAGAGGCACACTCCCATCAGGTAAAGCCCTCACGGAAAGAGAGGGATTTATCGTGATGTTGTGGGTCTACGCCCCGCTGCTAAGGTCGTTCCTGGATGTTCGGAGGTTCCTGTTTTCGTCACAAAGCATCTTGTTCATTTCGCTGCAGACGCAACAAAAGGCCCAGGCAGGCATCAGCTAGTGACAAGGTAAGATAGGTACTTCGAGTTGCACTCCTCACTCGGCAATAATCTGTTGCAAGTATTACTTGTCCATTACCTACAGGACTGGAATTACAATATGCTTCCGACATAGAATGTGTGGATTCTATTTCCTGACGGGATATTGGTGCAGGGAGGGCATACACCATCATCCTATTACAACCTGAAGAGGCATGCCTGAGGCGAACGTGCCAGTCCAGCCACAGCAAGTTATGTTTCGTTTTGTTCACACGCTAGTCTCATTGGCTCACAAAAATCCTGTTTATTTCATAGCTAACTGTCTTGTCTATTTGCAGGATGCAGTCAGTTTAGAGGATGACAAGAAAGCTGTGGCCAACGGCAGTTCTGAGGCGATTGAAGATGGCGATGAACCCTCCAACAGGAAGAACAGAGAGGTGAACTGGCTTCGCAGGCTGTCTGTATGTTTCCCTGAGCAATTTGCTTACTGCTGCTGCGCTGTCACTGTTCCCCACTAGGCGCTCGTCCTCTTATCCTTTTGAACTGGACATGCACCAGCAACTTAGACAAGGACATCAGTTGCAGCACACAGGAGAGTGAGTAAGCAATATGGCTGCTACTCTTTCAGATATGCTCATCTCTTGGGTGGGAGACTGTCTTCAGCCGTCCATTCACATTCGTTTTCAGCTGGTGTTGCAAATGCTTTGTTAACACAAGGTCCAGCCATGCGTCAACTTTTTGCATGTCACCCATTGACGCACACATACAGTTAAACCCACCACAAAGCGTGAAGTGCAGAAATCTCTGCATTGATATTGAGAAATGTTATATCCTTCATGCATGCCACTGAATGATCTGTTTCAGCCAAGCTCCTGTTGAGGCAGATGAGCAACCTGAATCACTTGTTGTCCATTTGGTTCGGGGCACTGTGAGAACCTTGCTAGGCTTTACCTGCTGCCATATTCTGCAACAGTTATCACCATTGTGGCAGGTGGCCGGAGGTACAGCAGAGTGCCAAAGAGAAGGGGACAAGGTGAGGTCTTTCAGGCCCTTAGTTAAAGCCCCAAGGCAGGGACCTAAGCCATCTGCCAATGCTGAAGACTTGATGAAAGAGGTGGACAGCAATTGCTTGAAAAGGGTAGGTTCCAAGTGTACTGTGCATGTTGAACCAAGCAAAATGAAAAGGTGTTTGTGAAATAGGACGATGTAGAGCTGTATCCTTCTAACACATAGTAGTGGCTGAAATGCAATACCATGGTGCCAGGCCCGCAATTGAAGGCTCTAGTCTGGAGTCTTGTCATTCTGTGACGTTTCAACTCCAGATGATGCCAGCTAGGAGTCTCCCAGATTGTGAGCACTCAATCTGTTGATTGATTATTTCATCCTTAGGCGAAGTTATTCAGAATTTTGGCATTAGGCAACGGTGTGAACAACACTCTGCCAAATGTGTTGGAATTGAATTCATCGTCTTTGGCTTTCAATTCATGCTATGCAGTTTTTCTGTTGGATGTGTGGGTGGCCACTTGTTATGTGCACTGGCCGCTCTGCATCTGACATGGAATGTGCAGTATGTGTGGTGCAGTGACCAGACATCTCCTGCCATGTGTTGTGTAATGCAGCAGTGTCGCAACTTTCTCTCCCACACATCGATGGGTGCCATTGATGGTTCTGGAGTATGGCTTCAACAAAAAAAAAAACTAGTGGTCGTTTGTGGAGATGGCAGTTCGCATTTTGGCCGTCCCCAGTGGCATGCAATGGGAGAAAACCATGCGCCACCACACCTCTCGTCTTTGGTGTTTCTCAATGTATGATTCGTCATTTCAGTGGCAGTGTGTGCTGCGCAGACGGACAGCAGTGTTGTGCACATTCCCAAGAACTTCAAGCGCAGAACTTTTGCATACGCCTAATTCTCACCATTGTCTTAGTAGCTGATTGCTTTTTCGTGGGAGCATTGCAATTCAGGATTGCCAGTTCCTTGTGTTGCCGTGGTTTGTGTCTGTGTGGGTGGTGTGTGTTGGGGCACCTGGGCAGGGGCGGAAGACTGGAAACAATGAGATTGGTGGGGCTATTGCTTGCCTCCACAAAAAATCTCCATTGTAGCAAATGTTGACAGTGTCCAGATGCTCCTGGGCACCTACTCAACTCCTGATGTCTCCTGTTGGTTGCATGGAACATGGCTGCATGGGCACAGTTTTCCCGCAACATTGGATATCTTCTTGTCAGCTCTGCTGCCATAACTGCGCTCGCCCACTTGAGCCAACATGGAAGGCAACTTCAGCTCCCTCAGCTTTTTGCACCCTTCCTCGTCCTCCATGACATTAGTAACGCACTCGAGCACCATCATCTGAACCTGCTCGTCGGGGCACTGAAATTGGTTGAGCAAGTTGATGAGACCGTCGTTCCCCACAAGCGCTGTCTTCCCTTCTTTGGCGATGGTGATGCTGCCCAAGGCTGCCAGTGCTGCTCGTTTTAGTGGGATCGAATCGAATGCCAGAAGCAGCAGCAACCTGGGAATTGCCCCGGCTTCCACGGCCTCGACCTTGGTGTCCTTTCTTGCCACCAGCAAGTTCAGCAGGACTACTGCGCATTCTATCATCTCCTGTCCATGCTCCGAGTCCAGAATTCCAACCAGGATGGGGACGGCCCTGGCAGTTTCAATCAGCTGAGCAAGCGCCTCGCCCTCGTCGCGGGTCTGAGAGGAACACACAGACGCAGATACTCTGAAATGAGCAAACGATGACGCGTTTTTCCAATCATGCAGACAACCCCGGAGTAAGCGTCTGTTGCTTTGATGTACACAGTTCCTTCGGTTCGCAATAGTTGGTAACTTCTACAGCACTGTAAGTGCAAAGTGGCACGATTGGGGATGCCCCAGTGGAAAAGCAGATTATGTGGTATTGAAGTACCTGCCATCGCTGCCATCGCGGTGATCGCCATGAAAGGCGGGTGTTTCACCGGCAACACATGACTAGAATTACAGGGCAACTTCTGCCTTTCTTCCATGCGGAATGTCCGCACGGATTTGCACATCATTCGAAATGGTCATGACGACTGGGCAGCCGCTTTCAACAGGTGTTGCCCCACTTTGTTCGCGAGAAGGTGGCCCTAACTCGCACATCTGTGACTGTACAGCTCGTGCGAACCGGCGACTTTCCCTGTCGCTTAACGTCCTGATTTCGCTCAGGTTCCTTTGACCGATTTACCCATGCACTCAGCCAGTGCATGCAAAGTTTGCAAGCTGCTCTAATTCTACTGCTGATGCCTCCATTTCCTTGCCAAAATCTTTCCCGTCGTCAGCCTTGAATTCACCGCAGTCCTCCCCCAGTTCCTATGCACCATCTGCTTGATGCCGCCTCCTCTTCCTCTAATCGCTCAGCTCTTTATTGTCAAAACATCATGATCGGCACATTGCCGCTCGAACATGCACCTCACATTTTGCAACTTGTTTCCTGGCTGCAAGTTGTCGTTAGGCCCTCTCCCTCGCTGCTACCCTCCTCGCCAACAAGGACTCGCTTCCTAGACTACCAACCATTGGCGGTTGTTGTCTCACCGCCTCGACATCTAGCAGTTCCTTGGCTCACCACATCACTGTAGGTTCAAGTTCTGGAAACTCGACAGTGACCGAGGCCTTTGGGAATGGCGACCGCACGCCATGTGTGGATTTACATGCAACAGGCAAGATAGGCAAATTTTTGCATTGCTGCGTAGCGGCATGTCAACGCAGTGATGGTCTAGCGACCTCTCCCGCACCGGTGAAGTCGAAAAAGGAATCTGACGCGGGGTGCGTCAATCGTTGGCAGTCCCTAACAGTCGAAAGCATGTCGCATTCCAACCGGTCTTGCTGCACAATCAACTGCGCAGTGTCCCTTCCCAAATACCCCGTACGAGCTATCTCACCCTAGGGCAACATCTTCGAGTCCCTACGAACATAACCCCACTCAGATGTACACTTCCCAGGTGACCTACCCCAGTACGACTTTCGACTTCCTCTAATCTATTCCAAGAGTCCATTCAAGCGCCCGGCATCCCAGAATGGCTCGTTTAAAGTCCACTATCACTGCAAAAGTCATGTAAAATTATGAAGCCAAGCCAGGACTAAAACGCGCAGCGCTGTGTCGCAAATCCTCAACAATATCGGAAACAGTACATCTTTGTAGAAGTACTTTCAATCATCTAATTTCCAACTGTGCAACAGGCATTCTCAATATTCCCATGTGCACATGGAATCTCAATGCGACAGTCGTCGTATTGTCATTTTAAACATGCGGTCATTAAAGGTACAATATCTCGAGTATACTGAGAACTTTGTCAACAGTGATCATTATCACTGATTACTCCAATTTCCATGGAGTTTTCCACAAAATTCGGAGACGCCTGTACTGTTCTAGCCACAAATTCGAAGAGTCAGGCGACAATAAAAGTCAGACTACAGCTCACATGACTGTTAGAGGCCCCAATATCGCATCTAATCCTTTAATTGTTCTAATTATTTTGCATCCACCAATCATCAGCACCATCATAGCGCAGCTCCATGCTGCTGGCAAAGGCGTTTTGCTCCGTCCATGCCACCGGATCCGTTCAATGCTCAGCTCCAGATTTTGAGCATGAAAACAACACAACGCAACAAATCGCTGTGCAACACGAACTTCTGGGAGCTTTGCCGTAAGCATTATGAGGTGATCTGCATGGAGAACCAGCATTCTTCACTGCGCAGACGTCATTGACATTGCGGTACTTGTCGCTTGGACTGCTCCACCGTAACTTGATGTCCACACTGTCAAGGACCGCCCCAGGTTATTGCGGGCAAAGGAAAGTCAGAACCGTGCCGAATAACTTTTCTCAAGCTCGCGAAGCAGCGTCCATTCAGCGGCCTGCGTTTGTCAATCGGCAGGCGCGAACTTCTGGGCTTTTCACACGTCGGTTATCATTTTGACTTCTCACACCCCAGCGCTCCATCTTGAGGCTGCCGTGTCACGGCTTGCATCAATTTTCCCAGCCGTTTGCCACCAGCGCCTCCACTTCGATCAGCAGCCACGAGCGAGTTAGCTCTGGCATGCTACTTGCCCTTGCACCCATGCCTCCTCTTTGTCGATGTCCTGTCGCGACTGCTGCCTACGAACACTGAGGAGAACTGCACTGATGATCGCCTTGCTGGTCGGCCACCGCCAGAATCTATCAGTGTCGAGCTTGAGCCAGGTTCTCTGTGGCAGGCTGGCCCCTCCGGGCAGCGCCGCAATTAACACCACCTGCATTCCTTGCATGCGGAATTCCGGGGTCCGTTCAAGCAATCCCACGGACGTTGCGGATGCCGTTGCCGGGTGCCGTGGCAAGCAGATGGAACATTTGCCCCATGCCTCGACACGTACCAGGAAAATCCTGGAACTCAACCAGCTGATACAAAATACTGGGCGCCATAGAGAGACCATATTGATCAAGAAACGCGGATGCAACGCCCCCTATACTATACCTTAAAATTAATGCATCTGATCACCATCCCCTAAAGGCCATATTGATCAAGAAACGCGGATGCAACGCCCCCTATACTATACCTTAAAATTAATGCATCTGATCACCATCCCCTAAGCTGTATTTTGCCGCATGACGTAGTCCCCCCGTCCACCATTGATCCCTTTGCATGTGCCATCTTCCAAATGCAGGATATCTTGCGGCCACAAATAAGTAAACCTTCTTCCACTTCCAATTTATATAGGAGCTTGCGGCAAACCACCCGATGTAAACACAATGTGCAGATGTCTAGTGCGTACACAAGAGCACCTTGGACCATGCGAATAGTAACCGTGACCTTAAGATTCATCCTAAGCTGGCAATTCATTCTTTTTTTCAATGTTTGTGTCCATGTGGACCTGTATCCCATGAGCTTCGCAAGTGCTTTGGCGGTGGTTTCGCCCTCTGAAAGCAATTTTCGCAACATAAAACACACCCACGCTACTCGGAAACTGCCAAGAAATCTGAAAACACACGCCTTTCCTCTGAACTCGTCAAGAATTTCTGCAGCGAATTCTGACTTTTTGACCATCTCAAGTGAACTATTCATCCAAAAACATGTTGAGTGTTTTTGTTACGAATTTTAAACACATTCCTTCCCTGCTTTCAATGTTCACTGTGCTTGTATGTCTT